TGGGTTGGTACACCTTACCATAATTGTCAACGGAATGGCAAACATCAATGAAGCAGACAACTCGGCAGTTGCCACCAGTGCTGCAGCCATAGCCATGGAACGATCCATTGACGCATTTGACATGTTGACACTGCTGGAAGTCGTAGAAGTCACTGCACTTGCCATCATTGCATCCACTCCAGTAGCCGCAGTTTCCACCATAGCAGCCATGCTTACCCAGTGCTCCACTACCCCACGTCTCCTGCATTCCCTTGTGTGGAAAGACTGCGTTGCCGAAACCGTGGCACGATGACTCGGAACACGTGTAGTCGCAGACGCCACCGCGACAACCGTAGCCAGTATTTGCACCAGAATGGCACACACGTGATTGACATGAGGGGAATGTTGGCTGTTTTGGATGGCTGAAGCCACCAACTACGAGACAGGCGATTACAACGGCGAAGACAGTCATCCAACCCATTGCGGCGATGTGATATTTTTGACTTCGATGTGCTCCTTTATAGGCGTTCGTGGAAAGGGGTTCCCCCTTCTCACGCACGCCATTGGTTCGTTGGCCCAGTCACGCCTCACTCACCCCCGATTTATCTGTCAGTCAGTCACCATGACCTCACATTTGACTGTTCTACCATTGTAGCATGCAATTTTGGAAGGTGATATTTCTCCACAGACTCCGACATCCGTGACTCGTTACACCTTTGTGCATTTAGAATGTGACACAGCTGATACAGTGCGTTTCTCCGCTATGGTGGAATATTTGGATTATCAGCACATGTGCATCAGCAGGACCACGCCTCATTTGCCAAGTAAATGCCACCTTACCCAATGCATCACGGCTTCTGCATAGACTGACCACCACCTCAACCTCATACCACCTAGTGTGCTCTAATCGCGCTTTGCGGATAGGAGGCCTAGACTGACCTTTCCTAGCGAATATGGGAATGCATTTACTTCTCAGGTGTTGGCAACCATCAAATCCTTGTTGTCTGATAATTGCCACAACCGCACCCTTTTAAATAATAGTCATATTGGGGTAATTGACGCTGACCCCAGAGCTCAGCCTAATGTCTCTTGAGAATTGCAAATTCGTTATAACTGCAACCGTCAGTCTGTTCCTTATTTCGGTGGTTCGACGTTTGCCGTTGCAGTGGCAAAAATGTGCTTCACAGACCTATTTATTATCCAATTGACTAGCCTCCACGCTGGAAGCGTAGGATGTAGAACCCCCTTCAGCCATCACCCTATCTTCTTACTTTGTACATGAATTTGGATTCAAATACGGCTGCCTGTTTGAAAACCATGGGAAAACTGAGTAAAGTGGGGAGGAGAATTTGAAAGGTGTGGCTCGCCTACCCTGTTGATTGAACTTCTCACTGCAAATTAAGTTAATCGAGCAGATCATGCAGATATTTTAGACCGTGGAGCATTGAATGATTGAGATCTGCACCCAGACATGGGACAAATGCCAAATATTGATGAGCCGGAATTTGTGAAGCAGAATTAGATTCGATTCGTATCTACGCGAACCATGCTAGTAAGTACTGTGTGCACGCAGTATCACTGCAGGAGGTAAATACCTCGGAATTCGGACAGACTTTGTAGTTTCCCTTTCACTTTTTAACGCGAACATGCCGAAGAAATGGCTAGACCTTCGGCCGATGAATCATGGCCTAGGCATCACACAAAGGCCAGGTCATTCTGGCTGACTTGCGCGTGATTGACGTCCGAGGGTTCCATCTCATCAGCTGGCCTGCGCGTGATTCGTGTCACATCAGACCAGCTGCGAAGTCAACATTTGACCAGGGACGGTCCACTGGGGGATGCAATGCGTGACAATGACCGCTGATATGAGTACGGAATTTTCTCTGTTATGCAATGATGCCCACGTGATTTTTGCCATTTCAACAATTAGTCTGTTTCCGTTATTGCACAAACAGTTGGTGGACAAGGCAAAGCAGTCTCCTCTCACAGAATAGGGGACTACTAGTTGTGCGGTTTCAAAGGCGTTGCACGAAGGCTCAGTTAGACCTCAGGGGAGCCGATGACTTGAAGTGCTCTTAGTCTAGTTAAGTCTGCTGTATTTGGTTACCTTTATGCAAATTGAACACGAAGGATTTGTTCGCGCCACCTTTTGGAGGAAAGTAGTACCACCTCCATTGGATTTGCTGTGCACATCTAACCTTTGCGAGAAATGGCCACGAGGCGTTATGAAATGGTTACCCGAGTTAATTTTAACCTCCAGTGTTCGAGAAGCTTCCTTGAATCAACACACTGCTGCAGCGTGTGCAGAATGCTTAATGGATAAAGGCAGAAGTTAAATGTATTCTTGTATGGGCATTCATGGACCCTCTATGCCTATGCCTTCACTATTCCATTGATATTTTGGTCGGAACGATGTCAGTTGAATAGAAACTCTTGAGTAGTCGTGCGTTGATAGGTAACGGGCAATCCATTGGGCTGCGATTCGACGGCCTACAGGATGTCGAAACTGCCGAATGCGGAGTATCAAGCCATGCTGGTGGGTCTGTGTAGTGGGTAAGTAGATGATTGCACTGGCTACCAGCAGTCAGGTCATCCATCATGTACCGACTTGCCATCGCCAGTCAGGAGTTCTCTTTTGACGCAAGAAATGGGTCAGAGTGACTGCCTTGAGCCGCCTGTTATGTGCATCCACAGGTACTTTCTAATGCCTAGATTGAACTTTCCTAGTGATTGTGGGCTTACATTTACTTGATCCACCTTGTCTACATTTCCGTAGATGTCGCATTGCTACAACGCATCTCGCCGTGTTCATCCACACATCCACACCTACATCAAGATGTGTAAGTTGAGAGTGCCTCATTGGCATTCCTCGAAAGGGCCGGATGATGAGCTGCCTTAGCATATATGGCGTGAGGGAGAGCATGGAGGGCGAATTGTGTCCGACCCACTTGACCTGCTCAACCATGTCTACTGTTGTTGGTAGGAAATGTTTTGCCGCCCCACTGTGCACATTTCTCCTCTGCGTTCACTCCGCGACTGACATTTGGAAGATACGCGTAGATTGGATTTCACTCCATCAACACTAGCAGACAATTGCAAGAGACAATCCACAAAAGTCGATGAGACCAATTGCACACAAGAGCATCAGAACTAGATCGCTGCACCTCGACACATACCAACAGCCACATTGTGCATGCATTTTCAACTTACTAGGCCAATGCTGTTGTACTTGTTCTGCATCCACGTTACAGACTGCAATTGTTTGTGTCATGTCATTAAATGACCTACACATGGGGAAGTGAGTGAGTTGGCAAGCAGCTGGTGAATCATAGGCTACGACTCATTATCTGCAAAGGCAGCTTTCAAATTTGAGAGAACTAAGTGAGGGGATGCATTGTGTGAGGATGGCAACCACTGCGGATACTGAAGTTTTCACTGCCACGAAGGATGCCCACATGATTCGCAATACATGAACAGTCACAATGTGGTGGTTATTGCACAATCAGTTGACGGACAAGGTAACGCCATAGTAACGCTCATAGAAACGAAGTCCGGTAATGCAGTTTTAAAGGCGTTGCATAAAAGTCCACTTCCACATCACAGCAGTTACAAACTTTACTACTTATAGGCAAAATACTCTTTTAAGGATGAGTTTAAAAGAAGTGAATTGAAGCATTTCGTATGCTACATTTGCAGAAAAGCAGTACGGCCAGAATTTGGGCTTTGCCTGCAACCTTCAACCTCTCATCGACACTGATGTGCTCTTCCCTTCCATAGTTCTGTCCAACGTTGCCACCTCGGCGATTGCGAAGTTGGGCCAGACAGATTTCTACTTCCGCTTGAATTTACACACCTTTTTTCCAAGATTGATTTCGCGTATGCTCTCTAAGGGCTGGTTTTGTTCGTGTGGTCACTCACGCTTTCATCCAACCTGTATGTCAGTGTGTCTATGAAGTTGGTGCTTTGTAGAAAACTAGGTCAGCTTACTATTCTTTTCAGATATTGTCTGCAATATTTACAACATTCTACCTCCGTTGTGTCACAGCTTTACCAGTCTTCACAAAAGTGGGGTTTTCTCAGACATTGTTGTATGCAAGGCTCAGATTTGTATTCATACTCCCTTGCAGTGCAACCGCATCTCTCAGTACTCTCAGTGCTGAGTGTACCATCGGGGAAAGCTTGCTTTGTCAGGAGGAGCAGTTACCACTGGAATGTTGAGGTGAGGCCAAATGCATGATACATTTGGCATCAGACAGTAAATCACAATCACGAGTACAGTTGACATCTCTCTCCCACTGCAATGCAGCATTTGCTGCAACACGGCATGGGAACTGTCACCAAGGTCAGTTAAGCGATTCTTCCCTAGGCTACTCACACAACTTCCATTGTCTTCATGTCTTCTGCGTCCATAACCACGTCAGTGCCATGTGAGGTCATTGTGATTGTCAATGTCGCTCCACATTTACTGCCAATTCCAGGCATGCCACCAACCGGTACCATCCAAAAATGGTAATTACAAATATCCTGTAAAATTTGATGCTCTTTGGAACAGTGTTTATTTTAGGGCACTGATTCTACAACGAAGTCCTTGGTTTATCTAAATGTAAAGTCTTAACTTGTTACCGCACATAGCGTGATGTGGAGAAGTTGAGTGCACTTTATGCCTCCATATTAGCCTTTTCTGGAAACTACAGCTAATGTCTAAATTTTAATGCATTTTTGACACAAACATGGCATTAAGCATGCAATAAACATTTCCGACGATGCCCTACCGTCCTTGAGACGAAAGAAGACATAACACCAGGCCAGATTATGCATCGCCAACTTACTGAAGAGTATAGGAGGGGATAGTGCCCAACAAAAGAACAAAGGAGGAGGAGCCAAAACTAAACATTAAACACAGAGGTGTCGCATTACAGTTCATTACCCGCATAATTAAATGTAGCTGGATTGCCAACGTAAACTTGAATTTGTAGGGGTGAGGGAACTTTAGACAGGAAGGTACCTCATATGCAACAATAGAAAAAGTAAAATATAGTACAAGCCACAAGATGTGCTGTTTATTATGGTTGAAATGCACAGTTGACATCTCCATTCACTACTACTCCCTCGATTTCTCTCAGTTTACCGACATCCGTGCACACTGCACTAGGTTTTAGTTTCATCATACAAAAATATGCGCACCCTCCAATTTGCGTCCTTTCGGTATTCACCAGCCAGCAATACTAAGTTCTCGTCAAAGCTGAGAAGACGTACGATGCCCCATAGAGGTCACCTTTGTAGTGCAATCGGGCAACTAATGCCTTTTCGAAAGCATTGTATGGGACGTCTTTGTGCGACACCCCAAATGCTATCAGTCAAAAAGGCAACAAATGAAATGGACACCATCAATTGCTAACTTGATGCTTAAACTCCACATCAGTAAAATTGCGAGGTAAGTGCGCCAGCTATCCATTCTAACCACCACACACTCCAACGACA